GGGCACAGCCACGCTGGCTGAAACAGCCGCGCTGGTGACCTGTGGAGCTCCTCCGCCTGGGAATTGCCTAGTCTGTGGGCAATAAAAATGTGGCATCCACTCACCCTCTGCACTTTCACTGGGAGCTGCAATCCTGAGCTGTTCCTAAACGGCCATCATGGATCCCCCCCTCAAAGTTCTGTAGAATTTTGCTGAAGGCCGTTTCTGCATCTATTGAGATAATGATGTGTTTTTTGTCTTTGGTTCTGTTTATGTGATGGATTACATTTACAGGTATTGATTGACTTACGACCTATGCAACTTATGATCATTCAACTTTACGACCACAATTGCTAGCCACGACTGTTCCATGTCTGGCAGCGCAAATATTGCCCAGCTGGGCGTACGACAGTGCGGACCAGCTTCCAGTAGCACTACCATCTCCACGTGCATATAGCCTACTCAACTTACGACCAAATCGTGTTACAACTGGTCTGTCGGAAACGATCATGGTCGTAAGTCGAGCACTAGCCTCATAGACTTGCATATATTGAACCAACCTTGCATACCCGGGATGAAGGCTACTTGATCATGATGAATAAGCTTTTAAAAACCCTTCAAAAAATCAACAAATCCAGGAGCTGGTTTTTTAGAAAGATCAACATAATAGATAGACTGCTAGCCAGACTAATAAAAAAGAAAAGAGAGAAGAATAAAACAGATGCAATTAAAAATGATAAAGGGGACATCACAACCGATTCCACAGAAGTACAAACTACCATCAGAGATTACTACAAACAACTCTACACACACAAACCAGTAAATCTGGAAGAAAGTGATAAATTCCTGGACACTTGCACTCTCCCAAGACTAAACCAGGGGAAGAAGTTGAATCCCTGAATAGACCAATAACAAGGGCTAAAGTTGAGGCAGCAATTAATAGCCTACCAACTAAAAAAAGCCCATGTCCAGACAAGTTTACAGCTGAATTCTACCAGACATACAAAGAGGAGCTGGTACCAGTCCTTCTGAAACTATGCCAAAAATACAAAAAGAGGGAATCCTCCCCAACCCATATTACGAGACCAACATCATCCTTATACCAAAACCAGGCAGAGACACAACTAAAAAAGAAAGCTTCACGCCAATATCCATGATTAACATCGGTGCAAAAATCTTCAATAAAATGCTGGCAAACAGAATGCAAAAGCAGCAACATTCCTAAGTAGAAGGTATGTGATATAAGAAACAATAGACAACAAACACACTTGAAGTATGAGAATTAACTTCTATCAATGACATGTCAAGTCATGTGATAATGACACTTCCAGTGGTCAAAAATATATCAAAAAATATAGGATAATTTAATGGCATAATTAAGTAGATACATTTTATAAATGTCTATAAAAATAGATTATATCCTTTCAACAAATATTAACAAACATTAAAACTGATCATACACTAAGCCATTAGAGAACATCTCATTAAATTTTGAAAGGTAAAAATAAAACAATAATTTTTCCTTACAATATAATAAAATTAAGAATTACAACATCAGAAAAGAGTAAGTCTCTTTCACTGAAAACTAAATAAATTGTTCTAAAAACAACCTTCAAAGAGAAGAGGCAAAATAAATTTGTAGAATTAAAAATAATACAGCTAAAGCAGTATGTAGAGAAAAGTTCAAGGCCTTAGATGTTTGCATCATTAAGAAACCGGTCAGGTACCAACAAGACAGAAAGGGAACACAGATAGCAGAGAGGGGTAAAGCTGGGTAGCAGCATATCTGGGATCAACATCCAGCTAGAAGCTCTCCAACATGGGAAAGGGTGAATGAGTGAAAAACCCCTGGTGGATTCACACTCTCCACAGAGACCTATGCAAGACCGGGAATGGGAGAATGCCCCAGCCACCCACCCCAAGTACCCCCTACTATGCTTCTAAACTGAAGCAGAAAGACACCTAGAGTTTTTGCAGAAGCTATTCTCAGGTCTAAAGGGACGTCTAACAAGCCTCAGACCCTGGAACAGACCAGCGCCAGAATCATAACCCAGAAAGAGGCTGCAGTCATGGTTCCTGGGAGCAGTAAGATGGCTCTATGCCTACCTACCACACAAGGCTCAGTGCCAGCTTTAGACCCAGTGATCCTACACCTACCTGAACTCAGCCAGTAGCTGTAGCCTCCTGCTGTCCCAGGAAACACACAGAAGGCAGGGCAGGAGACCCTGCCCACCCCACCACTGGTATCCAGGTGGGCCACACCTGGTAGAGCTTCTAGCCCAGTGGTTCTACTTCTGCCTGAACTCTGCAGAGAAGCGCAGCCTCCTATTGCCCTGGAAAATACTTAGATGGCAGAGCGAGCAACTCCACCCATTCGTACCTCTTGCAGCCAGATTATCCATACCTACTAGAGCTTCCAGCTTAGCAGTCTGGCTTCTGCCTCAACTCTGCCAGTAGTCACAACCCCTAGTACTCCTGGGAAGCACCCGGACAGATTAGGTGATCTCATTCACCTTCACAGCTTCTACCTGAGAAGGACTTGCTAGATTAGGTGGTGCCCAAGCTGGGAGGAGCCACACTCTAGGATCACTGAGAGAGGCATGATGCCCAGGTTTACAAACCAGTGGAGGGGCGGGGTATGGCTCTCACCATAGGGCTGCCCTGGCAAGTATACTCTATTAACCACAGTGCCTGCCTGAGGAAGCCCGGTGGATCAGAACACCCAACAGACAAAACAGGGGCACAGAGCCAGTAATCAGAAAGGGCTCCTCTAAGGCCCAGGAGTGGACCAGGCTAGTGGGTCACATCTCCCCAGTGTCCACTAGAAAACACTATGGCCAATCTTGACAAAACACAACAGAGCCTTGCAGCAGAGCAAGGGCCTGTCTGTTGGTTAACACTCTTAAGTGCCACCTACTGGATCTCAGCCAAATACTAAGACCACAGGTTTTTGCCAGTATAAGGAACCTGTGAAAACTAAGAAAGGCTCCCACCAGCACTCCACCCAGCCAATATACGTGTACTTCACCACAACACCACAGGTTCTGGCACATGCAAGTGAGCACTGATCCTGCTGCCACCATGCCAGTGATGTGCTTTGGCCAGTACTCCTTGTTAGAGTGTTAAAACCAGCAGACTGAGAAGACCTCAGCCCCTCCAGGGCAGCAGATTCCTACCCTCGAGGGGACAAAGAACAAAGCTAGGGTCCTAGTACCAGCCCCCAGAGTTACAGGGCACAAGAGTATTGAGCTGACCATTAGCCACCCCAAATCTTCCAGAACCAAAGCCAATCAACTGAACCTACCTTATACCACAATCAAACCCTGAAGGGCATCAAAGAAGATAAAAGAAAAAAAAAAA